CCATAGAAACGGGACAACACAAACAGATGTGGTTTTCCAGTGAGGACAGGCTGTCCTCCCATTTGCTAGCAGGGAGAAGCTGAGACAGAGATGAATCTTTTGTAAGAAATATTGTGGGATAAGCCAAACATTATTCACTAACCTAAGCAGTCAATAGAGATGCAGCACAGTATGTTATCTTCTTTCACAGCCAGAGGAACAGGCAGTGAGCCTCAATAATAATAATAATAATAATAATAATAATAAAGGTTTTGTTGTATATATTCAGCTAATCTCCTACATTTTAGTTTAGTAATGCTGTAATTAATCAGTTATGTCAATAAATTTATTTGAATCTGACATTTTTAAACAAAGTGATATTTCTTGGTGCTGGCAGGAACCTTATAAAACATTATCGAACAAACATAATCAAAACAATGCCTGCCCTGCAGATTATAGAGAGCGATTAATCCATTGCACAGATGTGTCAACTTGTACTGTGTCAACACAATGTACTCAGTGCTATAACAGTGTGAGGCTGAATAGATGACCCTAAAAGTCTTTTTACTTCTGCTAAATAAATAATATTATTATGATTTCTAATAGAAATACAGTAAGACAATAACCTGGAGAAGACAAAAAAAACATTTTCTGCAGCAATGTCTATTTGTCAATGTATTAGTATATTGCCAGCAGTATATTAAAATACTAACGCTATTACTACCGCCATTATTTCCCCCAACTAATACCTTTGGAAACAAGAATTTCTGAACGATGCCAGCAGTGATACACTGCTGCCTCTCAGAGATGTTGTCTTGTCTGAGGCAGAAAACGGCAGGGAAACCGATCCTCACCTGTCCGCGCTACATACGCTAACCTCCGGGCGGCCTCTCCACCACCCACTATAGGACTGACAGATATTTCACCTTGCGTGGACTGGACTTTAAATCCCAGGCCAGAAAGCTGAGAGGTCTCTCCACGCTACCGTGTCAGAAACGTCTACCAAATGTAGGCGGAGCAGTGTGTCTTTACGTGACAAGTGGTCCAGTGAAGAGCTCTTCAATGCTCCCACTATCCCGGCTTGGGTCCCAGAAAATCCGCAGGATTATATTTAATTTAATTCCAGCAGACAGATACTTTAAAACCTATTATCTTCTCAACGCTAGTCAAGGCAAAACAGGTTCTGCTGTACTCCAAGCACAGCTAAAACAAGCATTGTGATACCTGTGAAAGGAGTCGGGGATTTTTTTTTAAAGAGTTCAATTTTTATTTTTAATACAGACTGTATATTTTAAAGGGATTCTCCTACACTTTGAAAACAACATGCCGCTTTCCAGATCTTTGTCAATGACGTCCTTAAACGGGCTTCCCTTATGGGAAGACGAAGATCTACCCGTGGAAGATCTAATGCTTTTTGAGGTGGCCTGGGAAGTAACTAATAAAGGTTTGTAACATTTTGAAATGGGACGCGTAACGAGAGCACTTCGTTTGTTGGTTAAGACTGGACGCTTGTGGGAGCACTCAGTATTTCACGTACTGTTTTACTTAACCTGTTGCCACAGAGGCCTAGTGATGATCAATTTCACAATACAGCTGAAGTTGTCTAATAATTGCAAACATTCTCCTCACAGAGGATCTCATCTCAGACGTACACAACGCATGTGTAGAATTACATGTAGTACAGGACATGAATTCGGGGTTGGTGTTTTTATTTTGTTTTGTTTTTTTTTGGTTTGTTTGTTTTTTGATTCAACAGAAGCGTTTTCATCACTGTTGGTCAATTATGTCTACGTAATTACAAATACTAATACGATAGTTCTTTGCATTGAGCCAGAAATTTGTATTTTGAATCTAGTGGCGATGCAGAGGTCTTGGGAGTCACAGAAACACAACAGTAATTTATAAATGCAGATCTTGTGTTGCAATAAGAATGTCTGCAAGCACGCTTAATAGTGAATTATTGAGGCTTTTAAAATCTTCAGAGGGGTTTTAAGTCACACCAATCTAGCAGCTTAGTAATCAGGTCTGTGTTGCTTATTTAGAACTGTAATGGAGTCTAATGAAGCATGAATGTGGCTAGGAATAATGCCAACAAACATTTTATTTTATAGTGTTACCTGAAGAAATCACTGCTTGAACGATATGGGTCTTTTTGTTCCTAACATATTTAAAGACCGGTTACTTAAATGAAAAGCCTTCACTTGTTTTTCTGCTTTAAGGCTGAGATATTAATACATACGGTGTAAAAAATTCAGGATCAGAAGTAACTTCCCCACTGCTGTTACCAATAGATCGCAAAGGCTACCCTGCCTAGGGGGAGGTGTTTCTTATCAGTTAATAATTGACATTGAATCAATCTCCTCATCCTTTAGAAATGCAGGATTATCCCTCCAATGGCAGGCTTCTGTTATGTAACAGCCTGCTGAGACATCTACTGTATATGCAGAGTTCCACTTTCTTATTTGTTTGGTTAAAAGAAAGTACGCTTTCAAGCCGAGCTACAGACTGATGAAAAAAATGCAAAATGTTTTGATAATTGACCATCAAACAAAAGCCCACAAGGAAATAAAAAAGTTTTTGGATAACTTATCTCTGCTAGGAATTGGCCAGTCTGCTGTCGAAACCCTAAAATTCAATGAATAAATGTGTTGGAAAGGCTTGGCTGGTTTCAGCAGACACAGATGAAGTGTCACTGCTAATAGGTCAGATCTGTTATCCTGCAGATGGTTTAGTATTACGCATCATTCTTGGTGTGCTGTGATGATGAAGGCTACAATAGAACACGTGGCGTAGCCCATCACAAACTACTCTCCCCCAGTGTGGTAGGAAGCAGATCTTATCAGGCACAGCATTTAAGTCTGTGCTGCTGCAGAACAGGTGGCACCAAAAGTCTGTGTAGATTTTGCTTTCAAATTTTCAACTGAAGAAGTAGTCCAGAAATTCCAACTAAAATCATTTTTATATTGAAATACCGTCAGTAATAGTTTTGTTATAAAATTGAACTTTTTTTTTTGGCTTTCCAGAAGATAGCTGTCTGTGCCAAACAAGTGCTGCAATTTATATAAGGGGAGAAAGTTGTCATTGGTCAGCTGCCACATCAAAAAAATAAATTGCTGATCTTGCATGTGAATATTTTAGAACTAAGCAGAAAGAAGACTGTCAGGGTAGCATGAAAGTTGGAATTTTAGTATAATCTTTATTTCTAGAGGTGGTAAAATGTGAAATTTATAAAAAGGACCAAAATTTGGAAAGAAGAGGACATTAGGATCTCTACAGCATTTGGCAGCTAGTATCTAATTGATCCAATGATCTCATCCAGCTGTTTCTTGAAAGAAGCCAAGGTATCAGCTTCAACAGCATGGCTGTGTATCTTGTTCCAGTCACCCACAACACTTTGAGTAAAACGGCACCTCCTGTTCTCATTTTAAAGTGTGCTTCCGAGTGATTTCCACTTGAGTCCTTCTGGCTGTGTTTCTCTGTTGATTCTAAAGACATCCACAGAATTAATTTTGTCTGTAGTAGTTCTCTCTATTCAAGGTTAAACGTATTAAGTTCTTTTAGTCTTTTAGCCATTGCTTGCTTATCACATACAGTATTTACAATGTACTGTATGTAGAAAATGTATTTGAATAGGTATTTGTTCATTGTATAATTCTGCCTTTCAAGGCAGAATTATTTTGGGTTGTTACTAAAGTAGACACTCACGAGTTCTGAAAACAGAATGTAATGTATACATATTATGTAAGTTATTGTGTTCTTTCTACAGTGGTGAGATTGACCTTTGTCAAGGATCAACCTAAAATCAGCCTGGTGCATTTATTGTATACAGTATGCCTTTTCTCCTGATTTATTTGTATGGCTTGCTATGTTTTTTATAAGTAGTTTGTACTTATTTATGATTCATCAAAGCACGGCATAGTAATGCACTGATCTCTATAGCCAATAAATATGTAATTTAATTATATCAGAGGAAATATCATAATTCTGTACTGCATTAAATACCTGCACTGAATTGATATGTTTGTTATGGAGGTACTGAAATTGTTGGCAGTGTTGAAGGCTACAAACCCACAACACCACAAATTGAAATCTAAATGATTTTTCAGTTAGCCTTCTTAAAATATCAGTTTGTTTTGGGGAAAAAAAGTTATGTCCCCATAAGTAATATGCTAAAGAGCTTTAAAATAGACTCTTCACCCTCAGGGTTAATATCGATGTGGGTCTGTTTTGAAAGTTTGGAAAACATGGATTTCCACGTAGTTAAATATTAATCTTTAAATAAATACAGTGCCTGGAAAAAAACACGTTTAAACTCTTGTTTGAGTCTTTAAAGTTATATAATGCACAAAGTTTGTGCTTGTGTGGTTACTGGTGTCTGTTGTTTTTTTCCTAGAGGCAGTCTGATTCCATAATGTCACTTAGAATAGTCATTTAAGGATCCTAATGAAACACCACTCTATTACTGTCTTCTCTGTTGCCAGATTGAAAGGGCATGCTGAATCTTTCTGAATTTGAAATACCCTATATTATTCTACATGAATTAGATAATTATGATGTTTTATCATTTATGTCAGAAAAGTAAAATGTTTGAATTGGAGACAATAATATGTATATTACCAGGTTATATGGTACTAGTTTTACAAAACAGCTTTATTTCAGAAAGTTTTACAGAAAGCTCCTTATAAATGCTACAGTATGCCTTTCTAAGTTTAAAGAAACATCTTTCTGCTTTTAAAGAAACACATACAAAACAAGCATTTAACTTAAAGATTTATGCATACTACCGTATATTCAATATCTACCTTATGTCACTGTTCTATACTGGTTAACATGCTTATATAAATATTTCAGCATAATCTTATCATTGAGAATGAGAATTCATTTTCTTGCTTAGATTGGCTCAGAAATCAATAACGTTCTAAGGTTCCCAGTTTACACAAAGCAATGATCTAATGATACAGGCTGCAATAGACCTTCATTCAGTCAGCAGCCTTAAAGGTTGTTACAACTAACCCCTTAGGATTCTAGGAAGCTCTATACTTACTACTTGAAGAAAGGATTGGTTTTAAATCCAGAATATCTTCGCTTGAAGATTAGTCAACTAAGCAAGCAGTTCTACCAGCTGCTTGTGAACTATGAAGAACTGTAACTGTCGAGTCCAATGTATTGAAACATTTAAGGCTTAAGTACTTGGCTTTGTCACAGGGTTTAAAAGTAACATGGATGTTTTCCAAGGGTTTACATCACAGAAGCAGCATTGATTACCAAAGTCAAGCATCTTGAGTGTTGTGCTGATCAGTGCTGTCCTTTGGCACTGAATTGTACTTTTGTAAAGTAGCTTCCATCAGTCTGGGCTCTTTCTCTGGCCAATTTGAGTGTTGCTTAGATAAGATTACACCTTTGATTCCTTGTAGTTTCATAATTAGTGGAAGAGATCTAACCATTTATAAACTACACCACTACTATTGCTAGCACTGTCATGTGATAATTCAGATGATAGTTCAAAGCATGTTGTTCTGTGAATGTTCTGTAAGAGCTCTGATTTTTTGTGTTATATTGATTAATTCAAAGTTGGGTTTGAAGAAATATAATGAATTGATTTAAATGGATGTTTCATTTTTTTGGTAACTTTGGAGAATAAACAGTATATGTGAGATGCTGATGTGCTGTATCTGAAAAGTTATCCATTTACTTAAAAGTACTGAATTGGACAAGCCAGCTCGTAATACCTATGATTCTGTAAATGTCTAGCTGCAGTATAAAACACTAAGAATGGTGTTTGTTTTTCTTTGTCATCAATGATGTCACCTTGGTCAATGCTATCTTTGTCTATCTTTGTTGTTCACTATGATTCTTTCACCTGCAGTTGGAGGAATTTACACAGTAATTCAGACCAAAGCCAAAATCACAGTGGATGAGTGGGGGGAGAACTTTATCATGGTGGGGCCGTACTTTGAGCACAACGTGAAGACGCAGGTGGAACTGTGCGATCCGCCCAGTCCTGCCATTCAAAAGGCCATGGAGAACCTCAGGAACAGTGGCTGCCAGGTAACACCATTCAGCTTCTTTTGAGCTCTAATCCCAATACGGAAAATTCCAAGACTGTAAGTTGCCGTACAGGGATGGCGTGGTGGGAACAGTGAAGGAGCAGTTAAGGTCAGTGGGTTAAACCTTTTAAGGTAGATTACGTTTTCTGTGACTTAAGGAGGAAGTCCACTTGTTCTGCATCATTTTAGTGGTTGTCTCCTGTTTATCCTGTTATCCGTCTGCGAGCTCTGAATTCCCTAGCAAATTATATTTATCCTGCTGACTTACAGTAAAATCTTTTACCTCCTTCTGTGGAAGAATTAATTACTTTTTTGTGTACTTCCAAAAGTTGCACTATACAGTGATTGCTGATGTGCAATGACTGGGCTTCCACACACACAGATGTGAAATGACCGATTTTTTTTAGGCTGCTTAGGCTAAATCTTTGCATGAGCAGTAAATTTGGGCTGGATGTTCTATACAAGAAGGTTCGCAGAAATGAACAGCCTTGGAAAACCTCACTCAGATGGGCTTTCATGCTTCATTCTGTACTTATTAGTTGGCCAGACTCTCACACTGGAGAGTCAGAGCAAGTGAGTCATTATTAGGTGCATTATTACGGATATATTTGACTTAATAGCCCTCACTGTGACTGTAACACAAGTACCCCAGCTGTCCCCTCTGTGAGGCAACAAGGGTTTTCAGAGATTTTATTCATTACAGTACAAATGTTTCTTTGTTACTCATTCTTGAGCTTCCAAAACAAAACCAAAGAAAAAAATACTGAAAAAAAAAAAGGTCAGAACTCTTTTCTGTAATCTAGTACTACAGTTGAAATGGTTTGGCACACAGTCCTGTTTCCCTTGCTGACCTGTCAGTGTGCACGAACATTTGTCATTGACACTCTCGACATTGACAAGTGTTTCAAGTAGGTAGCTGCGTCAGCAGGCTTAGGCTGCAAAGGAACAAGTAAAGGTTTATTCCATGCTGAAAAGGGAAGAAAAGAAACACTACACTCCCTCTGTGGAGCCTTCTTCAGGTGTCAAGAAAAGCCCAAAGGAGGCTCTACGGCAAAACGTTGTTTCTTTTCTTCTCTTTTCAGCATGGAATAAACCTTTACTTGTTTCGTTGACAACTGTTGTGTTTGGACAACTCAAGATTTTTTTTATCCTGCTATCCAGTCAATACTAGAATACGCCCAGCAGGTGGCGGAATAATTCCTTTATTGGCAGCAGCGGTCCTCGCAGAAATGAAAAGAAAATATGGTGATATTCAGAAGGCTGAACTGCTGAAGTTTTCAATGTTAGTGATTGATGTAGATCTCTGTGTTTAGAATATAAATTTGAATCCAGGTATTTTTTCTTGTCTACCTTGACTGAATGTCAAAATAGGAAAAAATCATCATCATAAAAGCTTTCTAGATACTGTTCATATGCGTTACATTCTTAACCTTCAAGACAGTATTTCATGGATGAAATTGCCTTTTTGTAAAAATTAAATGTACAAATGTTACTATAACATACAATGCATGGGGGAAATAATGAGGACTGTTAAAAATGTAAATGTGAAAAATTTAATGAGCTGAGAAATGGATTGATTGAGCAGTAAAAAATGTGTGTAAAAATAAATAATTAAATCTTAAATAATTAATTCTGTGATACCCTTCTGTATACCTAGTCATGTCTCAGTATTCTCATTTTGGGTCGGTCTTAGTGACTGTTACATCAGAGAGATGTAATATTAGTTATTGGTTACACATGAAGTTTATATTTATATAATTTCTTAACCAACACCCTTAATCCAGGACATGGAATAAAAATAGATTCAAATAAGTCACAAATGCTGTACAGCTCACGGCCCATGTATCCACGCGTGCATTCCAGTTCAACTCTTATTAATTCATTCATTGTTTTTGCTGCCAAAGGGCTGACTGCTCATTGATCAGCCAACTCCCTCCCTTTTGCAGCTGCACTTTGGCAGGTGGCTGATTGAGGGCAGCCCCTATGTCCTCCTGTTTGACATCGCCTCCTCTGCCTGGAACCTGGACAGGTGGAAAGGGGAATTCTGGGATACCTGTGGGATTGGGCTTCCTTTTCACGACCGAGAGGCCAGTGATTCCTTGATCTTCGGCTCTCTGACGACCTGGTTCTTCAAAGAGGTAGATGAGCTTGTGGTCAAAGGAGACGTGCCTTCATCTGGGGCTCATGATGTTCAAACTATATGCCGGCAGCCATATCACCCTGCAACTCACCACTGACAACCCACTGAAGCTAAGCAGGTGTGAGCCTAGTCAGTACCTGGGTGGGAGACCTCCTGGGAAAAACTAAGGTTGCTGCTGGAAGAGGTGTTAGTGCACTCACCCTGCACTCCATGTGGGTCCTAATGCCCCAGTATAGTGACGGGGACACTATACTGTAAACAGGCGCCGGTTGGTGGTGGAGAGGAGTCCCCATTACCTGTAAAGCGCTTTGAGTGGAGTGTCCAGAAAAAGCGCTATATAAGTGTAAGCAATTATTATATTATTAATTATTATAAGGACAAATTCGGTAATGCGTGGGCAACTGTTTTGAAATTCACTGAAATGTAGTGTTCAAGAAAAGATGTGTGAAGGAGCTGGAAATATCAAGGTTGAAGTATTTTTTGGATTCTATGCATTATGAAGTTTCATGTACCCATCATTTCATTGATGCAACAAGAGCTAGCCTTGCCAGGAAGCAGGAGTCAAAGCGCTTTTTTCTGTTTCCAGCTCACTGACCAGTTCCAGGACAAGCCTAATATCATTGCTCATTTCCACGAGTGGCAGGCTGGAGCAGGACTCATTCTGAGCCGTTCCCGAAAAATCCCCATAGCAACCATCTTCACTACTCATGCCACACTGCTGGGGCGCTACCTGTGTGCAGGCAATGCTGACTTCTACAACAACCTGGACAAGGTAAAAAAAAAGAACCACTCTGTCAGTCTTGCTAATTTAATATTGTTTTTGTTTCTGCATTTCTGTTAATGTTATTTTTTTATGAGCCCTTATGCCCACCGGGAGTTTCTTTGACAGATATTAATTTTGTTTCCTGATCTTGTTGGATTGCATTTCTATTTTTAAACTTTTTCAGCTATGGTGGGATGATGTAACAGGTGATCCTGTGGCTGTAGTTAAGTCAGCCCCTTGAAACCTAGACAGTGTAGAATACTAGACTGTGATGCATGCATCGCAGTAGTGTACAGTGGATTTTATAAGTCTACACACCCTTATTAAAATTTCAGCTTTTGCTGATGTACAGGCTGAAACCAAAACAAATTGTGTCAGAACAGCTGATATTTGAAGTGATAATGTTTTACCTTCAATAAGATCTTGTAACCAACAATATTAAAGTGAAAAACAAATTAAATAAAAATAATTAAAAATAAAAAACTTTCAATGCATAGTTTGCATAGACTAGCTTGCACTGTATATCCTCAGCAATCAACCAGAACTCCACCCCGACACAGAAAAAAGATAGCTGCTTGTGAACTTGAGTCAGTGAACAGGTTATATAAAATAGTTAGCTGTTGCATGTTCTTTAAAAAATCATAAAGCATGCGTATTATGTGAATTACATAGTTGTGTAAGATACCTGTTTTCATTGCAAACACCATTTGCATTGCAGTTTTATTTGAAAATCTAGAAATGGAAACAAGAAATGGAAAACAGAGTCTGAAGAGGTTACTTATGAGAAAAACGTGGGTGATTATGTACAGTAGGCATGTTA